AAACTCTGGCTGTACTGGGCCACCATCCGTGGTGACAACGGCCAGCCGAGGAGTGGCCTTTCTCGCCCAATGGCCTGAATAGGAACTGTAGCATCTGGTTGGTGACTGAGTGCAGGATCCCAGCTGCTCGGAAGACAGCCTGGGGTTGGAAGCCCCAGTGTGGCCTCAAGGCTGGGTGGTTGGACTCTGGGGCCTGGGACTAGGGGTCAAGATTGAGCCTTGCTTTTATACCTGTGCCCACAAGCCAGGACCCTCAGCCGGTCTATAAATGGAGTGAGGGAATAGGTCTGTGCTAAACGGGCCTTCCCCAGACAGGCACAGCACTGCCCCTTCCCAGCCCTGTCATGCAGGCCTCAGTTTCCACATCTGTAAAGTGGGGTGTTTTGCAGCAGTAACTCATGGTGCATTCTGGGGTGGCGCGGTTTGGAATTGTGGGGAGCTGGGTACACCTCTCCAGTGTCTGAACCGGGAGCTCGACAACCATGTGACTGTCATCTGAAGCAGGGGGTGGGGGTGGGGGTGGGGGTTGTCTTGTCTCATGCCTCAACCATCCCTCACCCACCCATGAACCAGAGCCACATGGAGTAGCTCAGAAGGTTCACTGGTAAACCCTTCCATAACCCCTGGTTTCCACACATCCTCTCGGGGGAGGACTTGCTGACTCACTGTCCCCACCATGGCTGGGAGAACTTGCCTGAATCCCGAAGGCCGCCGGCTCCCAGGCAACATGGGGTGGGGGTGGGGAAGCTGTCCCATGAAGGGTGACCTGGCAGGCTGGCCCAGGCAGGCGGCTCTGAGTCAGGGAGCCAGACTGCCTGGTTTCCATACCAGCCCCACTTCTGAGAGCTTTGTGGACACGAGAGAATGCCTACAAGCTCTCTGTGCCTTAGTTTCCCCGGACTGTAAAGTGGAGATGGCCACGCTATCCATTTCCTTACCGGGCAGCTGTAAATTTCCGATTACTGGGGACTAACCATTCTGGTCCCAGGTCACCACTCCTGGGAAGGCTGAGAGACCGATGGGACAAGGTGATCTATTCCTGTTATCCTAGCTACTCAAGAAGGTGAGGCAGGGGGATTCCTGAGTCTAGCCATTCAAGAACAGCCGCCTGGACAACACGGCAAGACCTTCTTGAAAATTCAAAACAAAACAAAAACCTAGTCAAAAATCCACATTCTGGGACCCCTGCAGGGAATGCAGGCCTGGGATGTTACTTGAGACCCTACAGTAGCCAGTTCCTTGTCAGCTCTGGGGGCAGGGGTTCCTTTGGGGACCATCAGCTTTGGTGTCGACATCATGTCAGCTGAAGTAGAAACTTGAAGGAAAACACCAAGCTTTGGAATTCTGATCTGGGGGAGAGGGAGGGGAGAGGGATCAGGAGGGACTGGGGAAACCTGGAGGCCTTCCTGGAGGAAGCAGGTTTGGCCGGGTGCAAAAGAGAGAAGTGAGCTGAATGGGGGGTGATTTGACGTACGTTCGTCTAGCTAGTGTTTATTTAGCGACTACTGCGTGTTCCGTGCCTTGGTAGAGGTACCAGGAGGGAAGTGCATAAGGCCTGGGGTCCAGGAGTTCTTCATGAAGAGGACACCTTGACACAATGAACCATGACGGGAGACGGAAAGGGGTCCAGAGGGAAGCGAGCGCCGAGGGTACCGTGGGGCCAAGAACCCACCAGGAAGAGGCCAAAGGAGACTGCAACGTGGGGAAGGGAGCATGGGAAGGAGACGGAGGCCTACTTGAGAAGCACCATGGGGCATGATGGGAAGCATGCTTCTCCAGAGGGTACTTACTGGGGAGCTCCAGCAGGCATGAGTTGGGGGGTGTTGCATTTGGATTTGCCCCTTTAGCCAGGTGGGCCCCTCTGCCTGCCCTGACTCACCCCTGCTCCCATCTGAATGAACGATTGTATTCTCCCTCACTTCCCCCACCCCACCCCATCTACATCCATCTTTTTGTTGGTTTTGTTTTGTTTTGTTTTTTTTGAGACAGGGTTTCCCTGTGTTGCCTCAACTGTCCTGGAACTCGCTCTGTAGACCAGGCTGGCCTCGAACTCACAGAGATCCGCCTGGCTCTGCCTCCCGAGTGCTGGGATTAACGATGTGCGCCACCACCGCCCAGTTGGGTCCACCTTTCTAAAGCTCGGCTCTCTACAGCCTTGGTGGGGTTAGTTGCTATAGAAACCGGGCCTTCACTGCACCCAGGTGCAGAAGCCACCCCAAGACCCAAGAGCAGTGGGGCGGGACAGAAGTGACCTTGTCCAAGGTGACCCACTGGGGAGCTAGCCTGTGACCCTACCCTGAGGCACCCACAGGCCAGCTGGCCTGTGCTGGTTTCTCCCTCATCGATCACTTAGGACTCCTTTTCCTCATCTGTGAAATGGCTGTGACTGGAGACCGGTGCTTGAACTCACTGACTAGAGGTACTGTATGATGCTGCCCACCTTCGGTGGCTCCCAGTCCTGAATGCTTCTCTCCCGCAGCCTTGAGGCGTGAGTCTGAGGCTGGCCGCCCCCTGCCTCAAAGCTCCATCCCCAACACCAAAAAGTAGACACAACAGGCCCCCCTGGACTGATTTTCCTCAGGGTTCCAGAAATACTGTCCTCTCTGCCTGTGTGGCTGTGCCCAGGCAGGTTGTGGATGACAGTGATGTTACCAGCCAAGGCTCTGGACGCACTCAGCCCGCAGCCCAGTGGGGGTGCTCCTTTCTTTACCACCCTAAATCCGTACATCACTGCCATCCTCATCCGTTGAGACCCCAAGGCCCACAGGCACGCATGCCCACCATCGCGATGGATCCAAAGTTCGCCTGCATGTGGCTGTGGTCAATTAGTGCTGCTGGGGACACACATGCACACCGAGGCCCTCTCAGGTGCCTGTGTGCTGTCCGTGGTTCTGTCTTCGCCTCTCTGAGGAGCTGTCCGTGCGCTGGGGTCCATCCCCCCACATTTCCACCGTCGACCTTGGTCACTTTTTTTCTGATGGGCACTGGGTGGCCCCGCGCACATCTCATCGGCCGAAACTGGGTCGGGGGGGGGGGGGTCATTCTTGGGCAGTCAGATTTGCAGCAGCATGGCTGATCCAAGTGAATTAATCACTTGGGGTGGGTGGATGCTGCGCAACCTGGCCTGAGTGTTCCTCCATCACTGGTGGCTTCTTAGAACATTCCTGACCCCACACAGTGCCTCTAGATCTGTCCCTGCACATGTCAGCACTGACTAACTGCTCCCAAGGCCCCCCCGTCACTCGAAGGAGTGTTTTGGTAAGGGCATGCCTGTGACCCTGCCTCATGGAGCAGCATCCCACCCCCCCCATCCCCCGCCACTACTACCCCAATCCTGTGCCCAGCAGGGACAATAGTCACCAGCGCCCTGACTCAGTCCCCACAGTCAGCTATGGCCCCAAGGGGAATGGGAGGACTCCATGTGTGCTACACCCAGGAGCACATGGTCCCCTGACCTTGATTTTTTTTGGGGGGTGGGGGGGACAGAGAGTGGAGGAGTCTCAAGACAGGGTTTCACTGTATAGCCCTGACTGTCCTAGAACTCACTCTGTAGACCAGGCTGGCCTCGAACTCAGAGATCTCCCTGCCTCTGCCTCTCGAGTGCTGGGATTAAAGACGTGTGCCACCACCATGGCCCAGTGGCCTTGATGCTCTATTTTGTGAATTTAAACATGGGTTGTTCAGGTTGCTCAGTTCACTCCAAAGCCAAATGTGCCTGAAGGTACTTAACTTTTCCAGGCTGCCGAGGGAGAGCTGTGGTGCATCCTGAGTCTACGCTTGGAAGACCCTGGGCCTCAACCACCGCGTTGGGCCACCCTGGGCCTGCCCCTTCCCTTCTGTAAAGCCCCCCTGAGCCCAGTGAAGAAGTGGGGACCCAGCAGTCACCACTGCCTTAGGGGCAGGTACCCAGAAGACTGTGGACAGTGTGTTCCAGTCAAAACCATCTTCCACAGGGCCGTGGTGGCGCACGCCTCAATCCCAGCACTCAGGAGGCAGAGGCAGGTGGATCTCTGAGTTCGAGGCCAGCCTGGTCTACAAGGCAAGTGCCAAGACAGCCAGAGCTGCACAGAGAAACCCTGTCTTCAAAAAACAAAACACAAGATGTGGGGCGTTTACCCACCAACCCTACAGTTCCCCAGAGTTTTCTTGAGTGCGATCAGCAGGAAATATTAGATAGAAGGATATATTGCAGAGAATCTTGCGGAGATAAACAGATAGAAAATAAAGGACAGCCTCGAGAGGGCCTGGGACCTTTTCCAACAGGCCCCGACTGTCTCTGGCCCAGGGTTTTTATAGAGACGCCAAGGGGTGGAGCAAAAGACCTCCTCCCCCAGCACAGCCAAGTGCAGACCATCTCATACACCTGCACTCAGGCCCGTGGTCCTGATCATCCTCTATGTGGACCTGCTGGGTAAAGCCACGAGGAACCCGAGAACGGGCTCCCACAACAAGAAAAACCCTGGTAGACATTACTAATCAATTACAGACTTTCTCTCAATTTTCATGTGCCAGGATTCTCTGCAGTCAACCCCTGAGCTACCAGGAACAGGCCAATAAGGGTTTGTTGTTCAGACAAGGTATCACTATGTAGCCCAGGCTGGTCTCCAGCTAGAGCGCTTCCTGCCTCAGCCTTGATTGCTGGGACAGATGTGTACTGTCATCAGGCTTTGTCCCTTTCCCATTTCCCATCCTCCCAACCCTCGGGTGGTTGGGCCCACCCACATGTCAATCATCTGCCCATCTTTTTTTTTTTTTTTTTTTTAAATGCCCTGTGGTCCTCCATGTACCTGCTAAGGGCACCATCAGCCACAGGGTCAGAGGTTGACATCCAAGTTGACGCTCCAGCCGTGTGGCCTTGGCAACCTCTCTGATCCTCCGTTTCCCGCCTCACAAGATGAGGCCAGTGTCCTCCCTAGGTGGTGACAGGGCTGCCTGGCTGAAGGGCCCACCGGGCACATCCACTGTGGATTCCGTGGGGAGGAAAATAATACAAGCAGCCATCACTTGACCAGTTTTTATTCTGGCCCTCGTACCCTTGTCCATGACCGACATCTCTCTTAGCCCGACAATCAGCTGGACCTCATCTTTGTGCTTTTAGAAAAGAGGGCATCTCTCCCCCTGTCCTCCCACCTCCTGCCCCCCCCAGTACCTTTAGTCTACGCCTCAGCCCTCCAGCTGGGCCCCGCCAGTAAGTCCTGAGCCCCACCCAGTGGGAGAGTGGAAAAGACAAGGGAGCAAGTCCCCAGAGGCACCGGGACAGAGTGCGAGGTAAAGGCCAAGTCAGCTAGCAGTGTCTCCAGCTAGGGCCGGGCTCCCTGGGGACAATGCCAGCCAACAGTCACAAAAGTGGGGGGGAGGGGAGCGGGACACTAACCTTCACTGCTGGAGAAAGACAGACGCAACAATACCTTCCATACTTCAAAGCAAAACCCCCCAGCCAAGCCCTGGTCCCCGAGCCAGCAGGGAGCCAAGAGGCCCTGGTGGCAGATGTACCTACAGAACCCCGACCCGACCCGGGGCCTCCCAGGACAGAGGAGCGATCGGGGCCAGGGTGAAATCTGTCCCCGTCTGATGCAGAGATTGGAGTGACAGTGTCCTCCAGTCCCCAGGGGCAGGGCACTGAGGAGGACTGTAAACAAGACCCAGGTGGGGCAGGTTGTCCCGCCCCACACTCTGGAAGAGATCCAGCACTGTGGTGAGTGAGGATGGACCCAGCAGCAGGGGGGCCCCACTGGTGATCTGGGTGGCGGGGAGCAGAAGGGGGGGACTCTCCTCCCGCAGGCATGGAATCAGGCATGGAGGGGACTGTCTCCTCCAGGTGAGCCTGCCAGGGAGCTAGGCCACAGCCCAGGCCTGGCGATCAGGTGGCTCTGAGGCCCCGCGGAGCTGGGAGGGCCGGCCGGCCTGCCTGCCAAGGCCGGGCAAAGTCTGCCTCAGCTGGTTCCAGGCCAGAGGCCTTGGGGACCTAATCCAGTGTAAGCTCCACCTTCTTTCTACCTGCTGCTCCCGGCCCACAGGAGCAGCCCAGACAGCAGCTCCTGGGCCCAGGCCTCCTCCGGATCCTTGTGAGGCCCGGCACCAGGTGAACCCTGGGCCAGCTCCAGGCCTGTCCTGGGGCGGAGTTCTCTAGAAACCAGTTGCTTGAGCGCTTGAAGCATGTTCAGGTCCCAGGTTCTTCTTGGCAGCAAGTGCCACGGACCCCAGAGATCGGGTCTTCTGGGTCACATGTCCTCTGTCCCCTGGCAGCCTGGTTGGAGTCTGTGCTTAGGGCCGCTTGTACTCAGGCTTCCCTCACAGCCAGTACGCCCCTTAGGGCTGGTCCTGGGTCTGAGTCCCACCAGAACCAGAAGGATGCCAAGGGCCCTCCACGCCAGCTAGGCCAGCCTGGCCTCCACGCCACTGGCTCCTGAGGGCCCTCACCTCCAGCCCATACCGCTCATGCAGCTGGGCAAAGGACGCCAAGGGCCCGTTGGACGAGGCCCTGCGACGGGGTGGCGGCGGTGGGCGCTGGGGGGCTGCAGCCGCGGGTTGCTCGGGCAGCGCGCTCCATACGGCCCGGCCGTTCTCCTTGGGCCGCGGGTTCGCGACCAGGCTGGGGTTGGCGGGGAAGGCGTTGGCCGGGGCGCCCTCGCGCATGGCTGCCAGCTGCTGCTCCAGCTCGCGCACCACCAGGCGCAGGTAGTGGAAGCTGGCCCGCGACAGCGCCTTCACCCAGCCCTCCAGGGCTGCCTGGCTGTCGGCCGCCAGCACGTAGGACCGCGAACGACCTCCCGAGAAGCGCACCGCGAAGGCAAACTCCTCCCGGGCGTCCACCAGCTCCACCGTGCACCCCTCCAGCAGGATGACGCCCAGCGGCTCGCGGCTGGCCTCCGCCTCGAAGTAGAAGAGCATGTTGCCCCGCAGCACGAACCAGCGCCGATGCGAGCCCGCCCCGCGCCCGCCCCGTTTGTGCAGGAAGCCGGCGTTGTCCACGGGCGCGTCGCAGGTCGCGTAGAAGGCCAGGCTGCGCTCGTTCAGCTTCATGGCCGAGAGGCCTGCGCTGGTCCCCTGCACCAGAGCTGACGTTACTCCCGAGATCACCAACTCCGGGGCCATCAGCTGCCACCTTCCAGCACACCCACCCCAGGTGAGTACATGGGGATAAGACTCGAACCCAAGTCACATACACACACACACATACACATACACACACACACACACACACACACACACACACACACACACACACACACACACACACGGCCACTAGGAGCCCTCCTCCTGCTGCCCTTGACTTGGGGGAAAGCATTAAGCATTCAGAGCCAGCTGGACACTTTAGCACAGGTTAGCTCCATCTGGCAATGAATGACCTTGGGTGGCCTGGGCTGGTGTTCTGGTTGCACCCATGAGTCAGATGGGGAAACAGAGGCACAGTGAGCAAGGTCAGCCACAAAGCCAAGGTCACAAAGCAAGTTGGCTAGAGCCTCTGCGGGTCCCTGGAGGTCCCAGTTCTGTGACGCTGTGGTTAGTAGGTCAGGTTGGTGAGAGAGGGAGCCACAGAGAAGAGGTAGAGGGAACAGTGAACACCAAGGTCCTGGGGTGAACACCTACCGCTGTGAGGCAGGGGGATCAGAGGTGGATGGGAAGAGGAAGAAAATACTCACGCGGTGAAACACCTCTGAGAAGATAACCCAGATAAAATGCGGGCGCAGCCCAGACGGACAGGGAGGCACAGGGCACGCTAACATATACCTCCCCAAAAGTACACACCGGGGCAGGGGTGGGTAGCAGGACTTATTGGGAGGTGGCACATGGGTTAGAAGTGTGACCACTTGGAGGACATCCTGCATCCCGTGGTCACAGCCTCCTCACCTTGCTCTCGGATGGCAGCCATACTTTTCAAGGGACGTAAAGAGCCTGGAATGCGGCTGGCACTCAGCTAATGCCCACCCCTTCTGCCTGAGTGGCAGGCACTTGCCAGACGTCAGGAGGAATGAGGTCTGGGTGGTGGCTCTGTGGGGCCAGTCTGTGCTATCTGGCAGGTGGCGGGAGAAATGGCTGCCAGGCAAATACTTATTTTCACGCCACCCACACGGCAGCCAGGGACAGCTTCCTGCCGAGCCAGAGGCTGAGGGCCTGCCTGTCCCTCGGTCCCTGAAGGCTCTGGTGTGTGTATAATCTCTGCCTCCTTGTGCTGTGTGGCTCCTTTAGAAGCCTGTTTCTCTCTGCGTGAGTGACTCAGGCATCCCTTCCCAAAACAGTGCCCGGTGCTCACTCCCTCACCTCCACCCCACCCCCCACTCTGCTCACTCACTTCACAGGTCAGCTCAGGCCCCAGGCTGGGTCACTTCGGGGCGCACAGTCAGCCTCTCTGGACCTCCAGTTCTTCATCTATAAAATGAAAGCAAAACCGTCTTAAGGCAATGAGACTGGGACCCAGGGATGCGGGCCCTCGACCATGGTCACCGTTAACAGTATCCTCTGCTTCCCTCAAGTCAGTCCTGTCTCAGTGAATGGTGCCTGGTGTTCCTCTCTCTAAATCACTGAGGCCAGGGGATCCCCCCGCCCCGCCTCCTCCCCCCTCAATCTTCCAAAGCAGTGGCTGTCTAACTCCACTATCTCTAGGTCCCCGGCCACGTTCGCTGGGACCACTGCAGCAGCCTCTTCGGCTGTCACCTGCCACCACCTTTACCCCGTCCTATCTTGCCACCTCAAGGTAAGATCACCTCCCTAGGGCCCTCCCCTGGGCCCAGAGAGGGATTCTTAGCTCTCCTAACTTCTACTCACTTCTCAGCACCACCCCCACCCCCAGCCCCCCATCTCAGCCCCTTTCCCAACCTCAGATCTCAGCCAGGCGGGCTGCTTTTCTGTCCCTCGAAGGCACCAGACACTTTTCTGCATCAGGACCTTTGCCCCTGGCTGTTAAGACTCTGCCTGGGGTGCCCTTCCTTACCATACGGTAAGGCTTCACCACTGCCTGGGAGGAGCTAGCCTCCAGCCATAAGAGACCACCAGGCACTCCACTACACCCCGGCTGAAGATTACCTGGGTCATTCATGCCTGCTCCGGGAGGGGAGGGTTTTTCTGTCTGGATTTGAGAGCCCAGGGGTGTAGCAGGAACTCTTGGGAGCCTACAGGACAAAGCAAACCTTTGTCAACAGGAGGGCGCTGTGAAGTGGTAGTTAGTCACCATCCCACGTTCACGGATGGGAAAACTGACCTGCCCCAAGAACAGGGCTCAGAGCAAACAGCCCAAGTCGGGCACTAACCTTGGGGTCGTTCTGTCCCACCAAGACTGACAATAACTTGCCTCCAGCCCATCAGCCACCCACGGCGGCTGCTCAGATGGAGCCACCCTGGCCCAAGGTCACCAGCAGACAGAAAGCGCACGGCCAGGTTCCCGACCCTTACCTGCTCCAGCTGAGCAAAGAAAATGAGGCAAGCTCTAGCTTCCTCTGCGGGGAGCAAGTCCCCCCCGCCCCCACTTTCCCAGCCACCCTGCTCTCCCTCAAGTTCAGAGTCTGCTGAGGGCACCACACTACTGAATCAACAGGGCCTCGGCCTGATGCTTTAGGGACCAAATTCCTGTCCAAGTTGGTCCAGGGTGGAAGACCAGTCACAGCCACTTCCCAGACCCCAGATGCCTCGGTGGGCTTCACGGAGACTCAGAAGATGAAAATAAGGAAACCCTGTGACACACCGTAGGGCGAGTATTCTTAAGTAGGCTAAACACCCAACGTGGACATGCACACCTGTCATCCCATCCTGAGCTACACAGCAAGACCCTGTTTAAAAAACAAATAAAAACGGCACATGCCGGGCACGGTGGCGCACACCTTTGATTCCAGCACTCGGGTTGCAAAGGCAGGTGGATCTCGTGAGTTCGAGGCCAGTCTGGTTAGCATACAAGAGTTGCAGGCTAGCCGGAGCTACACAGTCTCAAGACCCTGTCCCAACAACAACAAAATCCCCCAAAAAAGGCAGGGCTGGCCAAACAGTTCGGCGGATAAAGGCGCTTGCCGCCATGCCTTCCGACCCGAGTTCGATTACTGTAAACCACACGGCAGAAGCAAAGAACCGACCGCTGCAAAGCTGTCCTCTGACCTCCACACGCGCGCGCACGTAAACAAAAAGATCAAATATTAGAAGACTTAAGACAAGTGATGAGCCCACCACGCGAGGGGTTAGAGCGGGCTCCAGAGCTAGGACTCGAGGGAAACTGAGGCAGGGCACCACCGCAGAGCCGCAAACCCGGGCGGTGCACCACCGGGCCCGCGATGGAGGCCGCGGGCGGGTTCCCTGCGATGGCCGCGCGGATTCCCGTCCCCGTCGCCGTCCCCGCCCACCCGGTCTCACCTGGCTGCGGGGCTGGAGCGACGGTCTGTCCGTCCCATGGCCCGGAACCGCTCGGGGGGCGGCGGCGAGCGGGCGCTTTGTCTCCCCGCGGCCGAGCGCCGGCGACCCGCGGACGCCCCTTTAACCCTGAGCGGCCCGCCCTGGACGGGCCCGCCCCCCCGAGCCACACACGCCCGCCCATTGGTCAGCCCCCACAGGCCCCGCCTCCGGACTGGCCACGCCCCCACGCGCGAGCCTGGAAACCACTCTTAAAGGGACCGTGCTGGGGTCGGGAGTCTCCCGAGGTCTGTCCTAGAAAAAACGGAGGATCTGAGCCCAGGAGAAACTAGCGCAGCTTCAGAAGTTAAAGACGCAAAGCTGGCCAGACGGCTCAGCGGGTAAAGGCGCTTGCCGCCAAGCCTGAGGACCTGAGTTCAAGCTCTGGGACCTATAATGTGGAAGGCTCCAGAGGATTGATCCCCCACAAGCTGCGCGCGCGCGCGCGCGCGCGCACACACACACACACACACACACACACACACACACACACACACACACAGAGAAATGTAAGAAGAGCTGGCTGTCCTAGTGCAGCGGCAGGTGGATCTCTGTGAGTTCAAGGCCAGCCTGGTCTTATGTATCCAGGCTAGTTCCAGGCTAGCCAGGACTCCCATAATGAGACCCTGTCCTTAGGAAAAGAAAAAAAGTTTAACCCATGGCGTTTCTAGACAAAAATCAACACAGATCTGTTGTTAAATGTGAGGACACCAAGCCATCCCAGCCCTTAGCCCAGGTGAGGAGGGAAAGTTCTGGAAGTGAGCAGAGTTGGGGGTTCCCCAGAACCACACCTGTGTGACCACACCTGTGTGTGCCTTCCAAACAGTACCTCGGCTTCTCTGGGCTTCCATGTCTTACCCATAAAAAAATAAAGACAAGGGTAATTTTCACAGGGTGTGATTCAGCGGTAGGCTTTCTCAGTAAGTAGGAACTGCTAGAGTTTTACTTTTTTTTCCTGCCCTTCCCAAAATAACACGGTTCCATCTCTCAGAATCCTTCACTTCCTGTTCTTTCTGCTGCCTCCTCCTCCTCCTCCTCCTCCTCCTCCTCCTCCTCCT